ACATCAGCCACGAGAAATCGCTCAGGGGCTCCGGTGAGCGCTGGCTTAAAAGCCGCAAAAAGTCAGCCTGCAGCCTCCAAACCCTCCTTGCCTCCCCCGCCTACGGCAAGGTTACCCTGCAAGGGGCACGGCGGGGCTCAGCACCGGGGCTCAGCACCGCGCATGCAGAGCGTTTGGTGCACGTGAGAGGAGCCAAGGGTTCCTCAGTCCAGGTCAGGCTACAGAGGTCCGTGGCCCCCTGAGCTCTGCCGTGCTAATTGATGTTAATCTGCATTTCACTGCGTGATTATGTGTTATTATTTTTACCACGGGGATGGTGAGATTCCCAGTCACAGAGCAGGATGCTGCTCTGCTACACACTGTAGAAAACCAGAAGGAAGTAATTCCCCTGTGGCAGAATTAACCACCGAAGTAACTGCGGATGAGCTGAGAGCAGCAGCATTTCTGAGGCAATGAAATGTTCAGGGATTTCGGAGGATGCTTATGGAAGATTTTGCGTTTGCAACGTCCTGGGCAGGCACCTCATCGGGAAGGCGCAGCTTCACCCATCAGGGAGCAGACCCGCATCGCGTCACCTCAGCACTTCATCAAACTATTTCACACAATTAGCACAAACAAGTGATAGATCATTACCTGAAAAAAAAGCGCTGGAAAAGAAAGGAGGAGAAATACATCTTAGGATGGTGTGTCTGCAGGTGGGGGAGAGGAGGGGGAGTGCCTGCCCCGAGGTCTGGCTCCTCTGCACCTGCCTGCACCCATCGCTGCCTCCTGCACCCACAGCCCGGGGCCGTGTGAAGCCGCTGCAGTCAGGGCTTGCAGCTCCGCAGTCGGGCAGGGAAGAGACCAGCTGGGCCATGTTCCCCTTCACTAGCACAGGGATATTCCTTCCAACAAGCCCTGCAAGTATTTTGATCGTGTTGTTTTAAATTTCGTGTTTATAGCCCTTGATTAGGTGGTAAAATCTTTTGGAGATGGCAATCCCTGCCCTGGTGCCTGCCATGCGTTTGATTGAGCCTCCGCTCACTCCCAGATTAAAAATAACAAAATTTGTTCTTCTATCAAGAGCTGCAAAAATCTTTGGCCCCGATTCCGCTGATGCTTATATAATCTCCGTGCTGAAGCATGCCCACCATTTCTCGCAGGGTTAGCTCGCAACTGCTGAAGGTGTACGTGGGAGCAAAGTCAACCTGCTGCATGTGAAACCAACGCTGCAACAGTTTGAACTTGCACAGGGCGCAGATACAGCGAGTAAAAAGGGGTGGCAGCCTTGGAGGCATAAAATTGCTCTCGTCCTACAGGGCTTATTTAATTGAAATGCACTGAGCTTTCATACATTAAAAAACCCTACCGTCTCCCTGATGCACAAACAATTAATGCTTCAGGACTGAACTATAAAGCCACTTTTTCTCAAGAAAACTAGCACTTTTCCTGTAAGCCTCAGTCTTTCCCCCTGAAAGCAAGAAATTGAAGAAGCACATGTAGGGGTGGTTGGTGTGGGCTCCATGACAGACTCACCATTAAAATGGGAAAATTTCTCATCTGGCGGCTCTTGGTGGCCCCACGACATTTGTCACTGGTTTTGCCCTGCATTGGCATTAACCCCTCGCCTGCTGCTTGACTGCTGAGAGCTCCCAGCCCTGGCTGCACCCTCACAGCTCAGCAGAGGTCAGCGAAGCAGCCGACGAGCCTGCCACGACAAGCAACACTACCAATCCCACTTAAATATTTGATTTTGTGGTGGTTTTCTGTTTTGGTTTTTGTTTGTTTGTTTGTTTGCTTGGTTGGTTGTTTTGTTTTGTTTTGTTTTGTTTTTCCCGATATCAACTGTTCAATTGAATTTATCTTCCTGTGAAAAACAAGAGGCAGCTCACGCTGGGCACCGGCTGAGAAGAGCCACGGTGCAAGTCCTCTGGCCACAGCTGGGCCGGTCCCCCCACGAGCCCGGCCGGAGGGCACGGCGTAACGCGGCCAGCGCCCGGCAGCCCCGCTCCGGGTCCCATCCTGCACCCCCAGAGCTCTGCTAACACAGCACGGCTCCAGCCCCGCAGCGGCCCGCGCGACCCCAGCCTTGCTCAGCCCGTGGGCAGAAACAGTGTTTGCTTGCTAGAGCAACGCTGAGAAATTAATTTCTGCCTTAAATAGGCAGGGTCAGAATCATTTCTCTTTTGCAATAAGCGCTATTGGAAACCAGGTGCAGTGGGAAGAGAGCCTGTAAAAGCTCCTACTAAGCGCTCTTAAATTATGTGGTTAAAGACCTCAGAATAAGTGGCTGGAAGCAAAGTTTCTTTATCCTTCTCTCCCCCGGACTGGGCTGTGCAACTGTTGCTTCTGTGCTTTGTGGGAGTGAAATCAAATGTCAAATATTCTGCTTTGGAAGAAGTTGGCAATGAAACATGAAAGGCTCATGGAGAGCTCAAAAGGACTGCGGAGAAATTGGAGTGAGGCACAGACAGGGCTGGGACAGGAGCCAGGGGGAGTGGGGAAGGACTGTGCCTACAACCACAACTCCAGATTTTAGGATGAAGCAACCACGTTCCCTAATGCATTTCAGCATAAAGCTGATCCTAGCTGCTGCTAGCACAGACGGAAGATGGGCTTCATACCAAAATGTTACATCTACTCTTCGCTGGGAAGCATCCACACATCTCAGTTTATTCACCATAATCACAGTCCAACACAGAGCATCGCGTCGCATCACCGGTCCGTACCTAACACCCCAGCCCCAAGAGCTCGAGACCTGCTACCGACCAGTCCTGGGGAGCACACGTTTCTCAGCCGAATCCCAGAAAACAGCCCCCCATTTGCGGAAAGATGTGTTTTGACAGAGGCACGTATCCTGTTTCTTTTTCAGCCGATATTTAAAATCACAGGCTCTGGACAATCCTCCCCCACTATATTATCATGCAGCGGATCGACGTTAAGAACAGCTGCTCCCTATGTTATTTTACTGTGGCAGAATTTCATTTTGTTCCAGATTTCAAGACTTCAGAAGACATTTTTACTGTATATTTTCAGTACTTCTGAGGCCACTTCCCACCATTTGCAGCCTCAGCCCTCTGAAGCTGGTGGACCTTTCTCCTTTTCTTGGTACTGACCCCTTTTCAATCATCAGGCTCCTTTATATAGCACTCAGGAAAAAATATATTCTCCCCTCCACTTTGCTGAACTATCACCTCACCAGGATTAGGGCAGTGGGGTCACGGGAGCTGACGAAATCCAGATGTAATGGCACACGGGGACTTCTGGACTCAAAGCACGCATCTCTGCAAGGGCAAAAAGCAAATCCTACAGAGTCCTGCGAGGAATGAGGGACGGTGTCCCCAGCTCCTGGAGTCTCCCCCAGGGCGAGTGCTTTGCCAGAGTCAGGGCTGGAAATGGAATTAACGTTCCAGGAATATTCTATTATTTGCTAATTCTCTTCACATCTTTTTGTTTCCCAATTAAGCAAATTAGCACTTTGATGAATATTAAGACGCTCTCGCCTCATAAAAGATGAGTTGGAGGCATTCCCACTGGATTTTCCTCCTAAGGAAAACAGTTTCTGAGATACACGTTGGATCGTTTCCTCCCTGGCATCAGCACAAGGAGCACATGTCTCCTGGAGAAAGTGACCACAACAGTAACGTTTTAATAAAATAATTAGATTTCAAAGTTTGCATAGATCCTCATTATTACCATCTAATCCAAGTCCAAACTGGAATGGGATCCTAAATCTGTAGCTGTTCATGGCAGTTTCTGTCACCGAGTTGCTGTAACAAGCATATAATGCCTTTTTTAACCACAAGGATTCATGCAATTAAGTCTTTTAGCAGGGAGAAGACTTTGTGCTCTTTGACCTGGCTTTAAATAACTTTATAACCAGGCTAAGTATTTGCCTTTTGTTTGTTTGTTTGTTTTGCTACAGGTTAGCAAAACAGTTTTGCTGGCTTTGGGAGGAGCTGTAAGCTCCCTGGTGCAAGGTGAGTTGCTAGGATAGCTGCTCGCTCTCTACGTCCATCAGTAGATCTTTAGCACTTTGCACTGATACCTCTCTGTAGCATCTCTCTCGGAGCAGGTGGGAGGGAGGACAGATATTTGTTTACCAGCAGATGCAGAAAGCTGTTAGTGACCAGAGGGTTAACTCAACATGGAACAATTTATTAGCATCCAGACATCTTCAGATGCAACCCTTCTCCTGTCTCCACCACCCACAAGGCACCAGCTCTATTAATCTGAATTATACAGTTGTGAGTAATAGCCAATAAAATGGTCATCAGAGTCAGTGAACCCAGAAGTCTGGCTTAATGGGCGGGGGCTTGGTGTGTTTTCTTGTCTCCGAGAAGAACAGAAGGTCCCAGATTATTTACATTGTGCTGGCTCCCCTAAGCAGCAGACTCCCGTGGACCATCGGCCATAAAATCCCATCATAATCATTTTGGTTGTGCTTTTTTGGTCCGGGGCCACCTCCAGGGCGGCAGCAGAACCGGCCCGGCGACGGACGGCACCGCGCAGACTGGGCGCTAACGCTGCCCGCCGAGCACAGCCCCACCCCACGCCTGGTCCCACCCCGGGGCACCAGCACCGCAGCCACTTCAAACACACCGGTAAAATAAATAAGTAAGCGAAGCCAGCCTAAAGGATGCTCGGACAAAGCTATGCATAACCACAGCCTGCCAGCCTCGCTGCAGGGAGGGGGTCCGTAACGCCTGTGGCTCGGGATCCCGTTACCCAGGCAGGGATTGTTCGGAGCCCCAGACCACATTTCCTCCGCAGCAGCTCAGCTCAGTTTCCAACGCCTGGAGACAAGAGCAAGGGGGCACAACGCTCCCCCCCCCTGGGCCCTGAGGACAATCTCAGGTCGGAGGCAGATAGAACTGAGCTTCTGCTGGCGCTCCGTCGAGCCGTACCGACGGCGGCACCGCCGGGCTCCGCACACCACCTCAGCTCCCTGTGCTCCAGCAGCACGCTCCTCCTCGCGGGAGGAAGGCACAAGCAGGGAGGTGCGGAAGCAGACGCCTTACCTGTCGCTCTGACATGACGTACAGATACTTCTGATCGATGGAGAAGGCCATGTCTCGAAGGACTGGGCTCCCGTCCTTGAAAACCGTCACCATTTCGTACTGAATTCCACCATGGGGAGGACCATCTGCTCGGATCTGGAAGAGGCACAAACAGATTACAGGTGACTTCATAGCAGCCAAATTCCGATTTCATTTGTGGGTGGAGGGGTGAGGGGAGGAAGATGAGGTAGGAAAAGGAATCTAATTCAAAATCTCAGCTTGCAACCTGGAGACATAGAAAAGAGCTAGCAAGCAATGTGCAGGCACAGGAGTTAAAGCAAAGGCTCCTTCTCCACTGAAGTTGATGTGATTTCCCAAATCCATTAGAAAGTCTTGCAAGGGGAGCACACAGACTGTCAGTGTGCTGTGACTGACCGCAGGAGTTCAAGAGTAACAAAGACTGTAAAAATTTCTCAGATTCTCTTTAAAATAAGCCTGAAAGAAGACCGCAATACCCAACACGCAGGACAACAAGGCCAAGATACAGCAGAGATTTTTTAATTCTTCCTCAGACACATAAAGAACTTAGACAAACGCCATCACCTCTTGCTGCCACAGAAGCCTCCTACAATACCATCTCTGCCTAAAAATTTGGAGATGGCGCTGCTATCCCATTACTTTCAAATGTGCAGGATTCAGCAAGGCAAATCCAGTCCAGCTGAGCGGGCAGGGAACTAACACAGCAGCCACGTGGCCTGTGCGGTTTGACGGGCTCCCGGTATCCATCCACCCCACCAAAAGACAACTCCTGCAGGAAAACCTGCCCAAGCTGTGACAAATCCCATCCGTGCCAGGAGCGGCCGCTGTTGAAGATATGCCAGCTCTTCCAACAGTTAATAATTTATGGCCTTGGGGGCTGTGCAAGGGGAAGGGAGGAGGATAAACAATTTACATTGTCTTTCCTACCAGGATTTGCATATTTGGATAGCCATTGGATTACAACGTGGTGTCTACATAGCTGGAAAGGCTGGCAGCCGTGGGGCAGGGAGGCGAGGGCAGGCAGGCGGGCCGAGGGCTCGGAGGAGCCGCTGCCGGCCCCGCGGCTCACAGCGGCTGCGATGCTGTTAGACGGTGCTGTGCCCCACGCTGCCCCTCGAGGAGAGGGACCCAGGGGGCACTGCCTGGCCCTGGAAAAACCCCTTTATTGCAGAGATGCCATCTGCGGCAGCCTCACGCCGAGCTGCTTTGTTGCATCGCGTTTTGCTGCTCGATTACTCCCTGCCTGGGCGTGGGAAGAGGCACGAGGAACCGGCTTTGGACAAGCCTAAGCCTTCAGAAGAGGCAGGACGGAGCAGCAGAGGGGGACATCTATTTTTTCTGGTTCACATCTCCAGGAGGTAAAGAAAGCAGGTTGTTAAGCATCTTAAGATTTATCTGAGAAATGTGCCACCCCAGCTGGAAATACAAAGATATCTTCACACTCATAGAGGAGAGATGCTCCCCTGCACCCTCCTCCAAATAAATCCTCTTCTTGGAAAGAGCCCTGATGCCTCCTGCTATGTAAAGATATGTTGGGTACACAAGCACATTTATTTTCTGGATTTCTCTCTCTTCTCCTTACCTTCTGAGTTTTTAGTGATATAAAAGAACATCAGGTGTGAATCTGAGCGGTCTGGTTTAACACCCATAGCCAGACGCACGGAGCCTATGACAGGATTAAGCTGGCAGCCCAATCCTGGCTCAAAAGCCCTGAAATTTCAGAAAGGAAAATCCAACAAAAGGTGGGAGGTCAAATCCTGCTTTGGTTGCAGCTGTGCAAGTTAGGATACTTCATTGCCTTCGTGAAATACTGAGAGCTAGAGGAAAGTTGAAACCAGTAAGAGACCAGTGCCTTGATCCGCACTGCCTCCAGCGCCGCTGCCTGTGCACACACCACGGGCATCTCCCACACCAGCCTGCACCACGGACAGAGGGACAAGGCTGCAAAATCACCTGAAGAATAAATAGCAGGGACAGTGGGCTGTCAGGGACACCCAGCTGCTTCCATGCAAACACCTGATTAATGGCCAAACGGGAATGGAAACGCCGGACATGAAGGATCAGCAGCCTCTGTGAAAAACAACTGTTTTTCAGAGTTCCCTCGGGGCACTGGCAGCTCGTTAAATTGAGCTTCTTTCTAGTAATGAGGTCAGACAGGGCTAATAAAGAGAGATACCACTGGACAGGCCTTGTGCAGGCCAATTCCAACTGGGAATTGTGGCTTTGGGCTGGATACGGCACCACGTGCACGGTGGCTCCTCCAAACTGGACAAGTGCTTGGAGCCTGGGTGCCTTGGGACCCAGCCGGAGCCCTGCTCGGGGTGCTGGGTGCTGTCCGCACCCTCCTGTCTCCTCCACAGGCAGGAGCAGCAGCCTGGGGTCTCTCACCCAGCCTGCCAAGGGGAGACGGCTCCACGCTACTCGCAGAGCAGAGCCCGCTGCCCTCCTGTCCCACACGCTGTGCTGTGTGTCACACCCACCCGGGTGTCCCACAGCCCCGCGCCCGAGATGCGCCCACTGACACCAGGATGCTCCGCTGCATCTCCTCCTGAGGGCTCGGTTTCCATGACGACAAATGACGATGTCAAAGAAGAACGATGATCCCCGGGAACGTGGAAGAAGAAAAGGATCATCTCAACAGCAGGAAGCTTCTTGTCGACGTCTGGAGACAGAAATGATTCCTCTATCTTGCAGGTGCCCTTCCAGTGCCAAACAACTCCCGGCCCATCACCAGAATCGCGGCGCGGCACCGGCCCCGGCCCTGCAAGTCCAGGTTGAGCCCTGAGCCAGGCTCCAGGCACGGCGAGGCCGGGAGCGGGACGGGGCTGAGCTGCTGGTGGTCGTGTTTCTTTATGTCCCCTTAACGCTACCAGGCTTTCTTCTCTCACGACATGATAATGGGGCACGGGAAAGGTTTAGGAGAAAGACGCAGAGGGACACGGTGCAGGTTGGAATGGGGGGGGGGGAGCGCAGTGAAACGGGGAGCAGGCGGGTACGGGGAGAAGCCCGTCGATGCAGTGGAAACCAGAGGTGTCCAGGACCAGAGACATGTTCAGCCACCTGAGAGACAGCAGAGACCAGGAGGACAGATCGCCGGCTCCCGCGCCTGGACACGAATCGGAGAAGTCGTCTGGGACAGATACAGCGCTTTCCTCAATTGCTCTTGATGGATGTTTACCAATACGGCTTGAAAAGTGCCTAACGACATGATCTGCAAATCCAAATATCATCCCTGGCTCAGAGGACGCCGGGTCGGTGAAATGCCCTGCGTGACGGAGCAGAACGCTGCTCAGCTCAGGGAGCTGCAGCCCTTCAAAGGCACTGCGCAGATTTATGTGTCTAATACCCCCACAATACAGACTGCAGGCATAAGCTCTGCATTATCTTAAGAGATTAGCAAAATACCACATTGTGCCACGTATATGTTGCAGTGTAGCACCCGTGTATGAGCCATTCAAGGATCTAATATGACATGAAGCTCCAACATACCTATTGTACCAAAGTCCCTCTTAGGTACTTTGCCCAGCCTATGCCAGAGCTAAGATACATCTGGATTCCCTTCCAGTTCCTCCCAGCAGGCTCCTATTAGAAGACCCTGAATCTCTTTGTAGGAACTTTCCATGATTAAATTACCTGTCTGTTTTCATTACGAGTGTTTCAATGAGGCTGACTCATGATGAAACGCCTGGTGCCAGAAAAAAACAGCTGAATAAGTCTACGCGTAAAGGGACTGATCCCCCACCCCGGATCTTGGATGCAAGGCCACCCGTTAACCCCCCAAGAGCTGCAGCTTCTCCCCATGTATGCAGGTGCCCGAGGGGAGATGGGTCCCAGAGCACCTCACTGCTGGCTGCCCCACTGCACGAAACGGCCCGTGCGGGCAGGGGATGGGCTCCTGAAATGATGCTCTTGGTTGGGAGGTGAAAGGAACTGGCTGAACATGTTTGTCTTTGTATGTAACAGTGACAAAGTGAAAAGCCCAGGCAACCCTGGAGCCTTCGACTGCTCCTTTCATGCTAGGATTTCTAGCCCTTCAGGGTGAATTCTATCAAATAACATTGCATTTGTGTAAAATGGACATTTCGAGGAGAACTGTATCAGCTCTGGGAATGTGCACTGGAGCGTTACTGCATCTATTGCCTGAAATAGAAACCAAAGACAACAAGGAGCAGCCTTCACTGCTGAGGTGCATCTTTGCAGAATTGCCACTTTTTTGCTATTTACCTCTGCACGTCTCAGTTCTTAGGCATTTCCCATTAAAGCTTCCCACAAAGCTCTAGGATGGATTTCTCGCTTCAGTATTGGAAATTTAGCAAAAAGACTATTACTGGCAGCAGGTTTCTGAATCAGGCTGGAGCGCAGTACAGTTTAAATAGCCTTTTCCTACCTCTTTCTGTCCATGGTTCTGTGAGATCTTTCCTACCTAGACTCGGTACTAAAAAAAGCTTCTACAAGCAAGAGACTCAGTAATGCAAAAGCTCCCTGAAGACAGGACAAGATAAATAAATATCAGTCCAGATTTTCTGTGTGTGCCTCCGCCAAATAGTCTTTGCAGGAAGGATTTACTTTTGCTAATCCAATTTAATTAAACTGGGCTATTCTACATTCACACCAGACTAAAAAGGTGATGTGATGACCTGCCACTTCTGCTGTCCCCCCTCATGAACACCTTTTCTCAACTTATCATTTTACAGGGTTACCCATACTGGCGTCTGCCTCCGATAGCCAGAGAGAAAAAAAGCACGGCAATTTTTAGGAGGGAAGAATCCAGAATAATAATTGCAAATCTCTATACAAAAAGTTTTCAAGAGCCCTTCAGACCCTCTGTGAAATTCTTCTGGGAGTAAAGTACCCCTCAGACTCCCTCAGAGCACTGCTAACATCAGCAAACTCTTGGAGCTTGGGCAGCTAGGTCGGAGCAAATGGCAGGTCATTAAAAATCCAGAGGGAAGCCAAGCGGGTTGCTGAGGCTCATGTGGGCAGTCCCTAGCAGATCTGGGGCCCGAATCAGCTCCTGCAGATGCAGGGGGCCCTGCCTGGACCGCTGGATAGCATCCCCCCCGCCCTGCATCTCCATCTGCGGGAGCAGAAACCCAGACCTGAGGAGTGGCTTTCCC